GAACCATTTTTATCCGAATTTTCCTATGAAATTGTGACTTCTAAGCTTGCATCGGTTAAGAACCCTAAACTCGTTTTTATCTTGAATATTCCTATGAAACTATGACTCCTAAATTCACGTCGGTTTAGAACCCTTAACAAATTTTATCCTAAGTTTTCCTCTTGAATTTGCACTAGTTTATAACCCGAATCATTTTTATCCATATATTTCTTATAAATTATGACTCTTAATTTTGTACTAATTTAAAATCCAAAACCATATTTAACTTGAATTTTCTTATGAAATTGCGACTCTTAAGTTCACGACGATTTAGAACCTTGAACCATTTTTACCTAAATTTTCCTATAAAATTATGACTCTTGATTTTGCATCAATTTAGAATTTAGAATTGTTTTTGCTTGTGTTTCTTGTGAAATTGCAACTCTTGAGTTTCCATTGGTTTAGAACAGTTTTTCCTATAAAATTGCAACTCTTGATTTTGCATCGATTTAGAATTCTGAATTGTTTTTGCTTGTGTTTCCTATGAAATTGCGACTCTTGAGTTTGCATTGATTTAGAACATTGAACCATTTTAACCTAAATTTTCCTATGAAATTGCAACTCTTAATTTTGCATCGGTTTAGAATTCTAAATTGTTTTTGCTTGTGTTTCCTGTGAAATTATGACTCTTGAATTTGCATTGGTTCCACTTGTTTCTAAATCGTTTTAACCTAAATTTTTTTATGAAATTGCAATTCCTAAGTTCGCATCCGTTTAGAACCATGGTCCTTGGTTCCACGTGTTTGTAAACCCTTGTAATCCATTTTTTTCCTATGAAATCCCGACTTCTAAGTTCACCTCGGTTTAGAATCGTAGTTGCTGGTTCCATTTTTTTCGAGCCTTTCCTACCCGAGTTTTCACATGGAGTCGTGATTCTTAAGTTCACATCGCATTAGAATTTTGAATCATTTTTTATCTAAATTTTTCTATGAAGTTATCACTCTTGAGTTTGTATTGATTTGGAATTATGGCTTTGGATGCCATGTGGTTTTAAATTTTTTTTTCTTAAATTTTCTTATGAAATCATGATTCTCGCGTTTGCATTGGTTTAGTACAATGGTTCTTGGTTCTACGTGTCTCAACCACTTTGGCTTAAATTTTCATATTTTTCGTAAAATCACGACTCGTAAAATTGTCCTCGGTTCAAAATCATGGCTCTTGCCTCAACACATTTCTAAACGAATTTTTTTTAATTATTTCATTTTCTTGCATTCTTGATAATTTGATTGAATTTAATACCATGTGCTTTAGAGTGAGGATAAGGCTTCGATCGGCCAAATTTCAAATCACTTCGATCTACTAGCAAATATATACAAATAGACATAGACGTTTATCATAACAAAACTAAAAATTATGTTTGAATTTGTATACAATGAAGCTTGGTTTAGGTAGGATGGGATAGGACAATTTTTATTTTCCGTATAGGTAATCAATCTCTTACTTTAGAACTCTATGGAAACAAATTATTTTGATTTATAGTAATTTTTAATATTAGGTTTTCAATCAATTTTCTTGACTTTTAAGTGCACCGACCCCGATATTGCATCCTAGAGATAATTATTATTGCAAGAATTTATGTTTATGGCATGTTTGGTATGATGTAATGTAATCAAATGTGTAATATAATAATAGTAAAAAAAAATAAAATACTATGGAATGGATGATTCATTACATTGCTTTGTTTGGTTGTAAAAAAGTTTTTGTAGTAACAAAGGCCTTTATAAAGTTTCATCTTAGTCTTTGTAGTTTTCAAAAATTCTATTTTAGTCCTTATATCTTACTTTTTAATGGGTGAATTTTAATTTGCCTCTGTTTAAGTTTGTGGAATTTCTCAATTTTTTTCCAAAGCTTTTGTTTGTATAGATTACCCCTTAAATTTTCATCACAACTTTAATTCTTTTCTTTAGTCTATCTTCATCCATTAAACTAATAAGTTTAAGATACTAATAAGTTTAAGATATGACATTTTTTATGTCTCGATGAACCCCCGAAGTTTAAAAATAGTATCAATATAGCATTCATTTCTCATCGAAGTTAACTATCTTGTTTTTTCAATTAGATTTTTTTTTCTTTTTTTTTTACCTCATAGTTTTGAAATTTATAAATTTTTAACATATAAAAAATTAATAAAAACATATAAAATCAAATTATAAATCTTATATATTTTAATGAAACAACAATCAGCTAACAACAGCTTCTTAATAAAGAAAAAAAGTGTAAACTATATAAAACATAAATTTTAATATAATAAAATTAATAATACCACCACACATTATTATTTTGACCAAATTATAATTAAATATTTTTAATTAAATTTTAATGGTAATTTTAAGACAAGCATTCAAAGAAAACAAATCTATTTCATCTTTGGCTTAAGCGGTTGTGATGATTTTTGGATTATATGCTGTGTAGAAAAAGTGTTTATTGGATTTTTTTTTTCAAATTTTAGCAAGACTAATTTTATAAATTTTAATATGATTGAAGAATAAATATTTGATTGAAACTTTTTTAAAACTTTAGGGAGTCAATTGAAAATATTAATGAATCTATTAGTTGAATGAATGGAAGGAAAGAATTGAAATTTTAATGAAAGTTCAGGAGGATAACTAATAAAAATAAAAGTTTAAGAAAGAAATTGAGAAACCCTCAAAACTCAAAAGTAAATTCATCCTGAAAATAATAATAAAAGAAAAGTGGTGATGAAAAATTTGAAAAATCATATCTTGCAAACTTATTTTATTGTCATAGACATATTTCTATTTACGAGCTTTTTAAGGACATAATTTTTTTTATTTTTTTTTTACGAGTAAGTATTATTTTTTCTAGGTTTTCTTTTCTTTTCTTTTCTTAATTTTTTTTTTTTTTGGATTTTTTATGCTTTTTTTCCTAGACATTTTATTTATTTATTGGAAGTTAAATTTTCATTTTTAGGCTTTTCAAAGTTAATTTTTCTTTTGGTGGTTGTAGGACACATTCCTCCCAAAAAGGACTGGAGAACATATGAGAGAATATATGATTATAGAAAGATATATGGAAATGAAAAATTATTAAAAAGGCATTTAGAAGAATACAAACAATAAATTAAAATTGATGGATCAATTAACCCTAATATTTTTAAAGATCCATTTTACGAATACACATTTTCTATTTTTTAGAAATTATGAAATTAATTAAATATTATTAATAATTTATTATATGACAATAATAAATGATAAGATTGGTAATTCACTATAGAGTAAATTACAATAACTCTCTTGAGATATTATAAAATTACAGTCATCATTCAAGAGTTAGAAAATATAACCAAACCGCCACCTGCCTCCTTTTATATTCAAAATATGCTTAATTATTTTTTAAAAATATTATTTAATTTGAAATAATCTTTAAAAATTATAGAAAAAAAATCATCATGATTATCTTTGGGCAGATGAACAACATTAATTTCACCATTTTTGAGTTTTTTTTTTTAATATCTTTCTCAAATATTTAAGTTTTTTTTTTAATAGTAATTAAGGGAAATTTGGATATAAAGATAGGAGTTCGTAGTAACTTTTTCAAATGCAAATGAAGTTTCGAAAACATTCAAACTTTTAGGTACAGACTATAATTTCATGATATCTCAAAAATGTTATTCTGATTTACCCTCCACTTTAATATCCTTGGAATTCTCAAAAGAAACAACCAACACAAAAAGATACTTCGCTAAGAATATTAGAATATTGTTAAGCAAACACAAACTGGAAATTCCTGAAAGTGTGATTCCCAAAAGGAAGTAACATTCTGCGAAACAAACACCATTTAGTTCTATATCGTTTCCCCAAGTGACCATGTCAAATGATAAACATTTAAGGAGAAAATGGACGTGATTTTTCTGGTCCTGGTCATTCCTGGCCCCGAACATGGGCGTCATCCAATTCTAATCTACCTGATATAGCCCATAACCATCAAATCTAGGATGCGCCTAAAAGGAGTCTAAATGCGAAGACGTCCTCATTAATGAATAATGCATCCTTTTGTTCTGCTATCCTGTACTAACTACTAACATAGACAAGTCTAAGACATCCAGAATGGCACCAGAAAAGTCAATTAAAAGTTGAAGCGAAGAAGGCCTAAGAATATTAATGATTGCATGAATACGTGAAAATTCAATAAGAAGCTACACTGAAAAAATTTCCCCTAAAAAAATTTCCCCTACATTCTAATCAGAAATAACCATTACATTTATTCGACGAAAAAGATGAATTGACCCATTAAGTGGCAAGAAAATGGCTAATTACACTAACTAGTATCGATGAAGTTGAAATCTGAATCCTTCAAAGCCATTGGAAATTTTTCCTTGTTCTACCTTGGAGATTTTGAAGAGAGACACTTTCCACACGAGACAAGCTTCAGTAATGAATGTGGTTTTCGTGTCCTAATTTTCAAACGAGAAAGCTGCAAGAACATAGCCAACATTCTCAAATCAGATCCCATCTAAATAGTTACTCATCATGGTACATTTCCTCGGACAAAACTTACATCTTAGGAGATGTTTTAACCATTATGGCAGTTTCTGTTAACGAAACTGTATAGTCAACCAACGTGAGCTCCAGCTAGCATGTAAAGAGCAATCTAAACTAGTGTAATGCATGCATTTTCCTTTTTGCCGTGTAAAGAGCAATTTAAACTATTGTGTAATGCATACATATTGTTGCAGGCAACTTCTGTGTCATTCAGTTTAATTTACTATATGAACCTAAAATGAAGAAAGCTAGAAAAGGGACATGCATCCTGAAAAGGTTTGACCGACGTTTACGAAAAGGATGGCAAGCATTGTGATCAATAATAAGCATGAAAAGTTATAATCTAAAATTTTCTATTTCAGCATTATGGAGAACACGCAGGATATAATCACGCTTAAAAATATTTTTATGACCTCAAAAGGTGCATATAGAAAAGTTTGCATCCATATCATTAGAGATCTAAGGATTAATTACCTTCCGACGTGTCACTCTAGTTGCTTTCCAGCAAAGCAAGCTTCTTGATCTAGGCTCCAGTCTCCTGTAAAATTACAATGCATAAGAGCCAATTTGAGAGGACAAAATATGATTAAAAAAAATATCAGAAGAGCTCTCTTTTTCAACTCAACTACATTTTGGTCAAGTTTCTTTTTGGCTCATTAAGAGGCTGATTGGACCATAGACAACACAACATAGGTTGCTTGGTGCAATGCCAAAAAGAGACCTTACCCTCTATGCTACCAAGCACCTATAATACATGCTCAGGCTTCTTTGAAAAACTAAAACCTTTTTTCTTACTATGCACAAGTTCGAATAAAATAAACTCGATAATCACTGATTATATATGGTTTTACAATGGTAGCTGATAAATAGTTACTAGTAAAATCTACCTTTAGCAGAAATAAAAGGAGGGTTTATCACCCTTACGGTCAAGGACTCCCTAGGATTGTTGACAAACAAAAAAATTGAAACTCAGAATTCTGTAATTACCAAGACCTTTATGTTCATCACATATACCACATACAGCTACCAGAAACCACTTTTTAACAAAAACTTTAGGCTTCTAAAAGGTAGTTCCAGCTTCTTCTAATCAATAATCTATTGACTCCAACCAAGGCTTAGATTGGCATGATAATAGGGTAAAAAAAAAAAAAAATCTGCAGATACGTACAAATTTTCTTGTTCAAGCTTTTCAGCTATAGAGACTGCTTTGTGTTTTGACCATCCAGCTTGCTGTGTACATCCTTCAGCTTGCTGAATTACATGCGCAAGGGAAACCTTGCTTCTCACAATGCTCTTACACTGACTTGGTTCCCCAGGGATTCTTCTTTCCACCACAGACCCCATGGTTGGTTTCTTATTCGAAACTGATTCTCCTGCCCGTGTGTGCCGTAAACCTCTTCTACTAGATACTATATTGTGGTTTGCTGGTTCATTACCCTCGTAATTCCTCGGAGAAGCTGGAATTTCAACAATTTCACTCCGCCCTTCAAGAGAATCCCCTGTCCTCGGCATTCTGCTCCCAGAATTTGGCTCTGGGTCTATGGCCATCTGAGATGAACCATTTTTAAAGGCAGGTAAAATAAGAGGGGCATGGAACCCAGCACTTTTTTCCTTGTTCGAATCACATCTGATCTCAATGGTCACTGGCGATCCAAGAACAGATTCAAATGCTTGTAAAATATGCGCCCTAAACTTCTCTGCCTTCAATTTGGTGAAATGTGAACTGAAGATCAACTGCACTGTTGGAGCTGCAAAAGGAAAAATTAATTTGGAGAATTAATTAAATATTTACAAATGAATGCAAAGAGAATATTTGTTTCCCAAGCATGCCACATAAAGGACAGTTAGAGATGAAAAAGAGAACACTAATTTGAAGGATACTTGTAAGTTGTAAGGACTAAAGAGAGTATGCTTCTATAAAGCGGACTATTTGTGGAATCTTGGCTTGGTTTGCCAATTTGAGAGGAACGGATAATGATATAAGCATATGAACGAACACAGCACTTGAAACCAGTCCTTCAGATGGCACAAGGAATATTTTATGGGTCATTCAGAAGCCCAAACACCTGCTTACTAATGGAAGACTTTCCAAAATTAATCAAAGGACAATTTATCAAATAAAGCATAATCAAATAGGGAAAGTTTTTTGGACTCAGCCCCAAGCAGTTGATGGATAACCATCCATGTAGCTGGTTGCCCATCACCATGTGACCCTCAAGTGAACATTAACCATCACTCACTGTTTTGAATCATAAGAGTTTTGATGTATGGAAAAGAAAATCAGAGTTATGTTTTGACATAGCTACTTGACAAAACTCTGAACAGTGACAACACATTTGTTCTTTTCTACATTAAATATATTTACTTTACATTTGCATGTAGAGTATCTAGATTATAAAACAACCGTTGAAGCCACAACTATGTGCAAGTACCTAGACATAAATTCATCAACCTGTCATAATTCAACATACTTCTCAAATAATCTAAAGGCATCTGTGTAATCTTTGAAATAAGTGTTGGACCACATAGGACATGAATGTGATGTCCTCAAAATCTGGCATGCTGTCTAAGCAGAATGATTATCCCACAAGACATGTAAACATTTAAACTGAAAAAAGGAATGATGGAGACATGAGTAGGTGATGCTCATTTCCACCCTTGTCTGACAAATATTAACAAATCTTGATAAGAAACTCAAAGATTTTTAATTATACATAGTTCTTCCACAGGAAGCTTACATTAAATCATAACTAAATACACCTGGTCAATATAATCCTAGGAAATAGACATCCATACATGATTATATACGTCTATCCATGCCCTTGAGTTGTCATTCGTAGAATTGCTGTATGCAACACTTATTTATATGCCCAGAACTCATAACTGGGGGCAGATTTAAAATTTGAAGTGTTGAGAAGAGAAATGATAACTATTACATTGGTGGAAAGAGGATCCAAACTACTTCTAACAGCTTCCATTGCAATCATGCATCGGTAATTGAAGTGCATCACACTTTTCATCATTGCACCCATCTAAAAAGGATAATGGTTGAGACAACAAGTTACTTCATTTCTCAGGTTGTTTTTTTAAAAAATAAATAAATAAAATAACAATAAATAAATAAATAACTTTGAGATCTATTTTCCAGTCAACAAGATTGCAATTTAGAACCCCATTCACTCTGTAATCTTAAATAACGCAGTATAAATTGAGCAAACTAATTCCACTTCAGAAATAATTCCAAGACACATATCAGCTAGGCCACAATAACTTCAAGCTTCCATATGTCAAAATAATGCATTCGCAGAATGCAATCAAAACTTGATAATAGCATAAATTCCAAAACTATATAGTTGATTTGCCATTGCATGTGCAAATGACACAATAAATGTAAATGGAAAATGTATACAAATGGAATGTACCTGCACCAAAACTAACAGAGATCAGCTTTCCTTCTTGGTACAAGAACTCCCTCATACTGTTAATTTGAATTTTCTCAAGCACCTCCAACCAAATTTCTTCATATCCCTTACGGCTTTTGCCTGAAGCCTGCCTGCCATTCACCCGGGCAGAATCTGAAGTAAGCACCGATGTCCATTGAGGAGCCATTCCAGACGCAGCACTTCTTTTTCTGTCCCTGCTAATACCATTTGTTGAACCACTGTTGCGGAAATCAGCAGAAGTTCCACCAGGGAGATTTTCCAATCTGAAATGCGTTGACAAACCTCTATTGTTATCGGGCATCTCCACATGTTCATCTTTTCTGGAAATATCTCTTCCACCCGTGTCATTTAGGGCCAGAGGGCTATGATTAAAACTAGTCTCTGTGGACGAACTAGGGAGCAGATACTGCTGATCAGGAGCAAGTTGAAGCAAGGCAGCTGTTAGCCATGTTAATTTGTCATTTGACATCCTAAGTTGTTTTTCAGCCTCTGACAAAGTTTTGAGGGCCTGACGCAGCTTTTCCATATCTTCTTTGGACACTAGAACCAATAAATTTGCAGTCAATTTTTTTTACGAACGATAATGTCCGAAGTACAAATAGCTAAATCATACAAACCAGAGTTGAGTTTTTGATGAAAATGAGGGGGAGTGGGAAACTCAAGTCAGAGGTACAGATGATAAAATTTCATACACCAAGAACGTTGACATAATGATTCTTAACCAATCAAGTAGGGTAAATCTGACAACAGAACATCTATCCATTTAACAACACCAAACAGGTCAAAATATCCATAACATCCCAAAGTTTGTAAGGAAAATCACAAATCAGCAATTTCAGGTAAAAGGGACCATAATCACACAGAACAACTTTGAAAAGATGGAGTATTCAAGAACATATCACTGATACACAAAGCATCAAATAACTTTCAAACTCACATGGCTTTCGTCGAAAAAACTTCCTTCTAGGCCTTTCTTTTGTGAAATCATAACTACCAGCCAATATATCAGTGATAACTGTAGCAAGTTGTGACATTAAAGCTAATGGCTCAATGCCAGTTTCCATTATGACTCTCAAATTCTTCACAGTGTTTACTGTGTCTGCAGATAATGCTAAATCGAGAAGATCCACCAATTTTTCATCAGAGATTAGTCCAACCTGTAAGAGATTCGTAGAGTTTAGAGCAAATAAACAAAAGCAAATCATATTTAATCAAGTGAGACAGTAAGGAGAAGTTGAATCAGCCTCGGAAGAGACATCTAAGAAACCAAAGCATAAAAACTAGCAACCAAACAGGCTAAGTGGCTGTTCTTTGAGATGATAACCCATGACGGTTGATGAAGGGGCAAGAACAGTGATTCTTAGAGATTCATAATCATTGATCCATGAGCAGTATTGAGCTCTCAATAGGTTACAATAACTAGCAAAGAAGAATTTCTGCAGAAGATTATTGTCATTATTGGGATGATGATCATCAAAATTTCTGCAATTGCACACAGCCACACACTACAACTGAAAAAGCAGAATACTAATAAACAAGCAATCACAACCAAGATGTTTGTTTTTTAACCATATCTAGAATCTATAACAGTGGTTCAACTGAATGTCCTATATCCAGTATCCATGAATGTGGATGCTCCGAGAAGTTTATGTATGTTGTCGAATGAATCTAAACAGGAACTCAGCCACAAGCCATAAATGGCAAATTCCTCTTCAATCTACTCTATTGACATCATGCTGTTAACAATATATTCTTTTAGGCATCATCACAACAATGCAGCACTATTTCTTGTAACTACTTAACCTTGTAAACCTAAAAATGATCTAATGTCTGGAAATGATAAATGTAAAAATACAAGAACAGTTCGTTCAGAATTTAGCTCAAGTGGTGAATTGAGATCGAGATGAGACTACGGCTCATATTTTAGCAGCAAAATAACATATATGCAAATAGAAATTCTCCTTTTGGATAATCTTGAGTGCAAACATAGAACTATAACTTCCTTTGCATGCTAGCACCCTCCAACCATCAGTAACACAGAGAAAATAAAAGCACCATGATTTTTGTCAAAAAAGGGAAAATTAGAATATCCTACATAACCAAGTAAATTTCAAGGCATTAATTGCTCGAAAAACTGAACTGCAATAATTATATATCTAACATATGCATCAACGCCGATACCTTGCAGACTAGTGTAGGCTACAGAACATTTCTTTGAAGCATGATTTAAAGAGGCAAAATAACACTGACATCACTGGAATTCAGAGTGGAATATGCCAAATTTTTAACCTGTGTATAAGGACATGAAATCTTTTGACATTTTAATTATAGTCACAAGAATTAGGAAGCACTTACCAATTCCTGAACCAGAGGAACAGATATCTTCTGCCCAAGCAAACTTAATTGTTCAAGTGTCATCTCAGCATCCCTCAAAGATCCATCAGACCGCGATGCAATAAGTTTCAGTGCATCCTTATCTATATCAATATCTTCTTTGGATGAAATCCACTGCAAAGTATATATAATATCTGCATCTTTTAGCTTTGGGAAAAAGAATTTCTGGCACCTGGATATAATTATATGAGGCAAAACATCAAGGCTTGAGCAGACTAGGACAAAAGCTACATGTCTGGGTGCTCGATCAATGACCTTCGATATTGCACTCCAGCAGTCAGGGGCCAGAGTATCACAGTCATCAAAAATAAAAACTCTATATTGAGATGGCATCTGAGAAATAATCATATTGTCGAGCAGATCTATAATGCTCTCGAAATCAAAATTACTGACTGGACCAACTTCCCTTATATTTCGACTCTTACCCACATCATGTGAAACACAAGAATTGCAATAGCCACAAGGTTTTGGATGTTCCAGAGATTGACAATTCAAAGCCCTAGCAAATATCCGAGCACATGAGGTTTTCCCAGTACCAAGAGGCCCATAAAACACATATAGCAACCCAACCTTCCTCCTGGCAACAGCGTTGGAAAGAGCTTGTGCTACTAAATTTTGTCCCACTAAATCTCTGAAAGTTCTCGGCATGTACTTTTGTGTCAGATTTTGATGCCTACCATTGTGGTTCCGCCCAAGCTTGCGTTGTTCGCCAGATCTAGCTTCAGAAGCAAGATCCGAATCAATATCATTTTTCAACAAATGATCAGCATATATACCTAGCTCTCCTGAATAGTCATGCACCCAACCAGCATTATCGGTGCTTTCTTGAGATCCAGATGCTTCCACTAGTAGAGGCAAAGCCTCTGCATCAGATTTAGTAGATGAACCAGAATGATCAGATGCCACCGGCATACCAGGAAAATCTCTTCCATGGGAAACTGTGCCACCTTTCCTTGCGTCTGACAAACCACAAGATAAGCTCCTTCCAGCCATGTCCAGGATCGTTTTACCACTATGATGAATCCTTGACCAATTCCATGGAATCCCACATCCATTTCTGGGAGCCCTTGTGACATTTTGGCCCCCATATTCTTCTTCCTCCATGTGATACCTTGACCGTGCTGAACCTTGAGCAAATGAATTAGAAGCAACAGACATTTCTTTCTGTCCCCCAACATCCCTTGAAGCTGGAGCAGCAGCCCGAGTTCTTCTGGCACTTCGAAACTTCCTCCTTTTCACCCTATTCACTCCACTATAGCCACGAAGACTGGTCTCAGGCTCACCTATTTTCTCCTGTCGGGTGTGTCTTCCATTGAGATGCATGTTGGAAGATGCCACATCACTATCCATTGGAATCTCATTTAGCTGCTCTGAAAGGGTCTTAACATGCATATCCTGACTATGCTTCCCCTTATGTTTACTCCTTCTATCTTTTGATTCTGAAAACCCCGAAACAGCATCATGAATTAAACTATTAACAGCTTGATCTTGCAAAGGGCCTTCATTGCCACCCAATAGATCAACCCTATTACCTTTTCTACTAGATTCGTCTCTCTTAACTCTCCTACCGTCCCTAATTCCACTCTTAACACTACGATCACTAATAGCTGCAAACCCATCATTACCCCCACTAACATCACTCGGGACTACCTTTGATAGTGCTAAATTTGCTAAGGGCGGAGAACTACCTGACAATCTCCTACCTTCCCTTCGAAGTTCAGTGCCAACAGGGCTTCTACCTTCTCGAATGGTCGCATCTGTATCGCCTTTCTTAGGAAGCAAATCAACTACAGAAGGAGAGTGCCATGAAGGAGGACTAGCCGAAGGATCCCTCAAAGATCGGGACCTCTGAAGGGAAATGAGGTCCCGCATTAGAGACCTATCAGCCAGTATGGGGCTTTGCTTAAGCATATGATTTTTCAGATGAATACAATTGGTCAAATGAATATGGTTTCGAAGATGATCACCAATATCACCATTTGCATCCTTGAGAATCCTAGTGCGGACAGCCTTGGTCATGATCAGAACATAAATGCAAATGATTGTAGAATCTCTTGAGGATTAACAAAACCAATCAAACGATATCGCATTTTTTTTTTTTTTCAAACTCTAGCCACCCCAAAAATCAAATCTCTCACACTATTGCTTTCGAAAAGGCAAGTAATTATATCCCACTAACTGATTGCCAAAACCCACAGAAAAAACCAGAACTCCAGCAATCAAAGATTCACCCATTTCCAATTATAACACCCCAAATCCCCGAAAATTCCCTCCAAGTACAAAAAAATCTTCAAAATAATCATCATTTGCTCCTGAAGGGCGTAGAACCATCAGAACAAAATATATATAAAAAAAAAAAAAAATCTTACTAACCCAAACCCATGAAACCAAACTCAAAATATCACCTTAAAGACCCCAAACTGCACTATCACTCTACATTCACTCCCACGCTAAACCCCTCAGCTTCAGTTCAAAAAAGACTAAAAGCACTAAACCTTCGACAAGTAAATCATTCACCACCCAGAAGCTAAAAACAGACCCAACAAGCAAAGTCTCAATCTTTAAACTTAAAGCCCTTGAAAAGAAGCTTTTGAAGGGCGTAAACGTATTTGCAATTAAGACAAAATGGGTAGGGAATAAACAAGCTTGGGATTGAAAGAAAATGGGGCCTAAAAGAGAGAAGAAGAAAGAAGCACTAAAAAGGTAACAAGAGAAACACTACATTCACCTGAAAATTTCCCAAAAGCAAAACCAGCCCGTTTTGGCCTTTAAGGCCACCAGATTAGATCTCTCAAAGACTCTTAATGGTCTCCCTCAAAGTTACCAACTTGACATGCAATTCACGAGGAGCAGAGTGTTGCTTTTCACAGAAAAGGATAGTCCAGAAAAACTCCACTTGAGAAACAGAATTAATTTCTAGAGAGAGATGAAGTTTGGAACTTTAGAGAGAGAAACTAAAGAGGTGGAGAAAGACTAAACAGAGAATCTTCAGGAGTGTGATTTTTAGCGAGAGGAGGTGAGATCTGTTAGAGAGAGAAGGCTGTGGGAGCAGAACACAGCCAATAAAGCAGTGTGGCATTTTGTTTGAGCATGCAAATGAAAAATATTGATATAAATATTCAAAACTTCAGTTAACTATTTCTTTCTTTATTTATAATAAATTATCAAAATCATTTTAATTGGGTTTTTATGTGATCGAAAACTAAGGTTACAGTCAATCATTTAGAAAATCCCTCCTTATGTTGGACACATATTCAAACCTGTTTTATTTACTTTTCTTTTTTTTTTTTTTCCCTTCCTAATCACTCTTCTCTTCTCTCCACCATATTGTTTGGCATTATCATAGTTTGAAAGTTATTCTTTTACTCCTATAATGAGCAAATAATTATACATATAGTTTATTTACTTCTAATATTATTTTATTCAAATTAATTGCAAAAATCGTTTGATGAGAAAATATCAATATAGTAGGATCTTCTTTTGTGGAATTGGAAGAAGAGGGAATATGACGAAGATCCTGATTATATTATCTTGTAATTATTGTGAAATCAAGTTTTCGTAAAAAAAAAAAAACAGTCATCCATTATTATTTTTTCTTCTAATAAAAAATAAAAAAGATAGTTTTAACTGTATGCCACACACATCCACCAATTAAAAGCAAAATCTAGAAGCAAAAAATTCCAACGATTTGAAAACAAAATTATTATAAATGAAAAAAAATGAAAAAGAAAGAATTTAAAATTATTGAAGCCCATCTTTTATGAATTTTAATAGTAACAATAAGGCCGGTGCCAGATGGGAAAAGAAAGTAGATTTGCAATGAAAAAAAAAGGGGGAGGAGATGGCTCAATTTGTGATGGTGGTCTAAGTGGTTATTGATGTGACGATGGTCATAGAGATACAAGGTTTTGGGCCTAAAGTATTAACTTTAAGACGATATTTGGTTGTTAAAAATAAAAAATTTCAAATAAAAATATAAATATAATAATTAAAATGAAAATTAGAGAATAATGATATTTTTATTTTCATATTGTGTTTGGAATATTAATAAGGAATAAAAATATAATTTAAATTTTTTAATATCCGATTTTTTATACAAATAAAAATAATAATTAAAAAAATATTATCAAATTATAATAGTTGTAAAAATAATAAAAGTGATGGTGTTAGTTATTATGGTGGTGGTGGCGCTAGTTGTGACAATGGTGACAGCGATGATAATGATTGTGATAATGGTGGCGGTGGTTATTATAGTAGTGATAAAAATAACTAATATACAATAAATAAATAAAATATATTATTATATCAAGATAAATAAAAACAAACGGAGAAAAATAGTATAAAACCAAGGATATATACATATATATAAGCTTTAAACCAGAGATTTTTGGTCCTTAATGTGAAGTTCTCTTGTTTAACTACAAATCTCAAGTGCCAACCTAGTTTAGTTCAATAACTTGCTGTTTTAGGACTGTCAAACTGATTTCCTAGTGCTGGACTCAAGTGATAATTGGACTTAGTTTAAATCCACATTATTATTTCAAATCTAACCATGAAGAAGAAATTCCCATGTCTAGCATTAATTTAAAATATGATTAACTTATCTAAAACTGATAGGAAAAAGGGATTCGATTATATAAACAAAAATGATATCATGTCTATTAAAAATAATAAATACTATTAAACTATTTTAGTTGGTGGAAGTATATATAATTGTGTTGTGTGGTTAAGTTTTTTTTTACGTGAAATGGAAAACTCACGATACATAATTGAAAGAGGGAAAGAAAAGTAAATCTCCATCTCGTAATCCAAATTTCATGAACTTGGAAAGAGTACGTACTTGTCTGAAGATAAGCGAGAAGCCTCTGCAAGACAACATATTGAAGAGAGAAGAGAACAAATAAGATAGTAGAAAAACTGAGACTTGGAATGAATTTTGTTGGGGGGACCAGAAGGAATTAGTCCGTTCTGTTGAAATAGCCGTTTTTTGAACTCTACATTCTACAATACATAGAGAGAGTTGGCACTTTTCTTGTTCAGGACTGCGTAGCACCTATAATTGATGTCAACTGTTGGTGTGGGGACCACCTAAACAAATTGAAGTTTCATAACTTCGGATAATTTATTGTCTCCTCCTCTCCTCTCCTCTGTATTCTTAATTTTCGTTTTGGGATCAATATGTTTATGAAATTCATTTGCTTTGTAAACCGGCTGCTTTATCAAGGTTTTTTCAAATTTAGTGTGATTTCAAATTAGGGAAGCAGGAATCTTGACTTTTTTATCTCCTTTTTTTCGTCTTGGCCTCTGTTGCATGTCAAGACAAAAACACAATCTGTGGGTTTGTAGTGTTTTTCTTTCTTGTTCAAATCTGAGGTTTTCTTGTAATGCAGTGGCTAAGATAGGTATTGAGGGGTTTATTGTCAAATTTTGGAGTTAAATTCGAATTGCTAAATAGGTATGCTCATGTCAATTAAACCATGACTGAAAAAAAAAACACAGGGATTTTCTATTGGACTACCTGCGATAAGAAATATCTTGAAACATTGCCTCACTTGATTCTTTGCACTTTGGAGTTCTATTATTTGATGCTATGCGGATCAGTTTTTTTTTTTTTTTTTTTTTTTTAGGGTGAAAAGAAAGTTAAAATTAGTACTTAAAAAAAATATAGTATTTATATTTCAAAAAGCAAAAAAAATGAGCAAAATGTAATTATTATCAAAAGTTGGAGGCGGAGTGATAAAAATAGTATTTATAATTGATCAAATTATGCATTGGATTCTCACTGTTAAAAAGCTTTTTTTTTTTTTTAGACATTAAACATAGGTTATTAGTGAATTTAATGTTTCAGTTTTTGAAATGAATAAAAAATTAGGCATGATCTGGTTTTCTTTTTTTATGATACTAGAGATAAGTTATTGATAGATTCAAAAAGTCTTAACACGAAAAAGTTAGACACAATCCAACAATGATCCACCCATGTATAAAATGACAGCTTAAATTAAAATTCTTTTACTTTAAGAATTCACAAAAATTATATGTGTGTATAACCGGTAACATTTGAAAATAAAACATCTATAAATTAATGCTATTTCCAAAGAGAAGAGAAATGATACTTTTCTCTTCCCTACTCCCTAGTGATTCTCTCACGACAACGTCCCTTTCATTTCATTTTTTCAAAATGTTAGATTTGATTTCATATGATCCTGGATTTGATTTCTTTATTTATTTATTCATTCCACAAGTATTGGTTTCATTCTCCCGTTTGATTGACTTCTGTCTCTTTAAATAAGAGAGAAAAATGGAATCATTTTAAACGATAAATCGTTGAAAGTGAACAAAAAAGTAAGCGTAAAAAAGTACAAACGAAGAAAAATGGAGCAAATGCAACCAAAATTGAATTTTTTAACAAATAATTAAATAAATCATCTCAGAAGCCTGTATCATGGATTCTAGTTAATTACTTGTGTTCGTTTTAAGTTTCTCGTAGAGGACTAGCTAGCATTGAAATATTATAGAAAATTGCAGTGTAAAGTTTAAATCCCTTTATTATGAACAATGGCAAAGAAAATAAAGTACGATATGGAAGATTGTAGGGCCAAGGAGAGGTGATTATATCACCGAACCTTTCTAAGAAGAAGGTGGTATCTCTTAACATCTGCATCTAGGAGAGTCGCACATTTAGAAGTAGGACCAAGCAAGCAGTAGGCGGCAGTAGCATCAAAATCACGTGACCCCATTCTGCTGATGATGAACATGCCCATTTAACATGATGTTCCTGATTCTGAATCTGATGATGCCACCATCGCTTTCTTAACTCAATTATTTAACTTAACTATCTCTCTCTCTCTCTCTCTCTCACACCTCTCAACATTCAAGAGAGCTTTGAGATGCACCAAACACTTCCAGCTAATTAGTTAGGCAAAAAAAAACAAGTCTTTTCCCTTGCAGAGTACCCTAGGACTGTCGCATTAAATTGTGGTCGAAGACCAACTTGTATTTTGTTTTTTTTTTTAAAGAAA